TATCAGTTCTCTGAGGAAGAATTAATGAGGGTATTCAAACACTTTTTCAAATTTCCATCCATCCATCCATCCATCCATTCATATTCCAGCTTTTTATCATCGTTAGCCTCATGTGTATTTCAAATATAAATCCACTTCATCAGAGGCAAGGTGTAGGAACCGGTGGGAATGGGGGATACGTCCCCTACAATATTTAATTTGGATTCATTCATCCCCCCAATAAACAGCCCATTGTATTTAAATTATTAAGTTGTGTCCACCCCTATCTCAAACATTGATCAGATGGCACACGCATCCATGCACTACAGACAAGGCAGCAACACTGCTTATCTTAATTGCTGGTCTGTGGACCTCAGGAGACCACCTGAGCAGCATGGGGAGGACGTGCATGCACAGAGCGGGGGGTTACCCTGAAGGTGTAAGGTGACCATGACACCCTGATCATAAAAACATCCAAATGCATGTTATTAAGCACATAAAGTAAACTAGAACAGTCTCAAGCTGCATACTGTGACCAAGGCAAGACTCGTTTATGAAATATTGTTCCATTCGGCTGCTGCTTTGAACACATTGGGTCCAAAAAAAGACCAAAGTATGGAAGCTGACACTGGCCGCCCCCACTGGGAAGCACAAGCACGTGTGACCTACTCGTCCTGTGATTAGAGCTTATTATCACAAACTGCACTCATGATAGGAATGCCAATCAGCAGGTGAGCGCCATGGCGGGGAGGAGGGGGTGTGGCAGAATTCTCACCATCACCAAGGGGTTTTACACTTTGAATCTCTATAGTAAACAGCAGCAGACTCGGAGAACAGCAGCCATATTCCTTGACGAGTCTTTATACGTACGTGACAGTGCCGCACAGATTTTCCTTCAATCTTCAATCTAATTTTAGTCATAGACTTGACCGTCCATAAAACCCAGGCACCTGTCTGGACGCCCGGAAGGTCCTGCAGGGGAGGTGCCACCTGATACCCGCACGACAAGGTCACTCGCTCCTCTTAGGTTGGCAGGGAGCGGCGCCTTGCCGGAGGCCAGACACCGAGCCGCGGATCCGCGCCACCCTCGCTGCTGGCATCCTACGAACCGCAGGCTTACCGTAGGCGGCACGTAGAGAGCGTCCGGCCAAGGCAGCGCGGGTGGCGCAAGAGAACAATAGCAATCACGTTCCTCCCGTAGCTCGGCTTCCATTTGCGTTCGAATCGGTCACACGACTAGGACCCTTTCAGCGGTCTGACCTCTCAGAACATCCGCAGAAACTTAATCAATTAGAAAAATATAACTTATTTGACATTGCAGAGAGGTGGGTGCGATAGTGAACTTCCTCATCTCAAAATCAATATAAAAACTCGCAGCAGTTATACATTATTCAATGAGTTCATGTTCACGACACGCAGTACCAAGGTCTTTTAAAAAGTCAGCTGCAAACCAGCCTGCGTGGAGGCGGCAGGATTTAGACGCTAACAGCGGCCAGTCTTGGTGGGCATGCTGATGCTGTCTCACGTGCACTGCAACCCCTTTATGCACTGCAACCCCTTTATGCACTGCAACCCCTTTATTTACCTCCGATTCCTTCATGCATGAGAACACAACTCATGCCAGAGATGCACAGATTATTCCTCAATAGTCCTGAAGATGGACACATTTAAACGAGGCTGGTTCACATCTATGTGGGATGCGTATTTTCGCCGTTCGGGACTTGATCTGATAAAAATGATAAATAGAGTTCATTTGAACCGCCTCAGGCAATTACATAAGGTTAACAATCCTAAAAGAATAATGACTTCTGCTGTATGTTTAATTCTCCTGAGTCTCAGTAAGTAATGACTTTCTGATGGGCAAAATCTCTGGGGAGGGAAACTCGGTGACGCACCATAATGACAAGATCACATGTGTGCGCCTTGCATGTTCGCCAAGATGGCCGCGTGTTCGGTATTCCGTGGTGCATTCCAGCCGGGCCGGAGAGCGTGTCCGCAGTTAGCGGCCACCTTCCCCTTCACTGATCTTCTCTCCACGCCTGTGCCAACAGCCGGCCTCCGCCTGAGGGAAGAGCAGATGACGGGGAGGGAGAGTAAGACAATCCCTGTCTTTCCATTTAAGGGGCATTCGGCTGAAACTCTTTTTATGCCTTATAAAAAGTGACCAAATCCACTGATCTTACTCCCTTTTGCAGAAATGCCACTATGCATCATTTCTACCCTATAAACCACAAAGCAGGGCCTTGCTGTCCGCCCATTTGTTCGCTTCTTTCTTGGCTTTCTGCCCAATGGCAGAAACATTTTGGCTAACTGGAGCCGACGGTGCGCGGGTGAGCTGAAGAGAGACCCGGGCAGGCGATAGCACCTTATATGACTCCGACATACTTCTCTCGGGAGGCTGACCCCCCCCCCACTGCAGATGATGACCCCCCGCAGCTACATGTTAAGTGAAATGGGGCCCCTCACTGCCAGTAGCTCAGTGAGAAGGACCCCTAAACACTGTAGCTTATATGTGAAGGAACAGAAAGGAAAGGGGGTATTTGGGGCAAGGAGGGTGGGTGGGATGAGAGTCACAGAGCTGAGTTTGGCGTCAGCACAGGAATAAATATAGAGGAAGCACTGCAGGCCAATGGGAATTAAGCACAGGTGAACCAGTATGGTTGCCATCTAATTTCAGCCTGTCCATTCACGTCTTACAAATTATTACTATTATTATTAATACCAACAACAACAGTAACAAGAATAGCAATTAATAAGGAGGGTGGCACAGTGGTTTGCACTGTTACCTCACACCTCTGGGACCTGGGTTCGAGTCTCTGCCATGGCTCCGTGTGTGGAGTTTGCATGTTCTCCCCGTGTCGTCGTGGGGTTTCCTCTAGGTACTCCAGTTTCCCCCCACAGTCCAAAAATATGCTGAGGTTAATTGGAGTTACCAAATTGCCCATGAATGTCTCCCACAATGGCTTAACACCCCATCTTGGGTTGTTCCCTGCCTTGTGCCCATAGCTTGTATGATAGGCTGCAGACCCCCTGCAACCCTGACTAAGATTAGTGGTTATAGAAGATGGATGGATGGATAATAAAGCTGTGTTTTCTACAGCTGGACATTACCTTCTGTGTGATGCTGACTGACATTGGCTACAGCATTTGCCAAATGCTTTCGACAACATGGAATCAAGGTTTGACGTTGAACAGGGATCACTGGGACACATGTGACCACCGGTGACAGAAGATGCATCAGTTGGAGTTATCAAGTTGGCTTGACAGTTAGGCTGCGGGTGAGTTCTTGTTTTCATCTCACCCTCACACCTGCGATTTCCTCCATTTCAGGGTGTGTTCTGGAAGGGCTCAGGAGCAGGGAGCCCGGCTAGCCACAGCTGTTAGGAGCCTTAGTATAAAAAATACACTAAAAAAGTGTATCTGACAGAAATAGTTGGGAAATTGAGCTCAAAGCTGTGGCTCTGTCATTAATCAGTGCTGTAAAGTCCTGGAATACACGGGGTAAGAGTGGAAGTCATAAAAAAATTTCAATCTGTCGACCCATCCATCCATCCATCTTCCTACTGCTCATCCAGGTCTGGGTCATGAGGTGGCCTGGTTGGGATGCCAGCCCATCGCAGGGTCCAGACTCGCACACTACGGGCAGTTAGGGATGCTAATTAACATAACTGCATGGCTCTGGGTTGCAGCAGGAAACGGGAGAACCTGGATGAAACCTGCGCCACACCGACCGCCCTGGAGGTGTGAGGGAACAGCGCTGCCCACCGTGCCACCCCAGATCAGGAGATGCGTATTATTGACTCATTGGAGGTAACGGGGAGCAGTGGCATTTGTAAGGTGAGCGCTGTCAAAAAGCTCATCATCACAGCTACGTGACCCAACACATGTAACTCACACCATTACGGAACGTGTGCCGTCCCCCAGCCGGTCCTGGTACGACTCGCTATCGCGTTACTTCCTGTGACTAGGAGGAAGCCTCAGGCTGGCCGAGAGTGACACGTCAAACCAGGGTCTGGGTGCTCTAGGGGTCTGTAGAGCAGTTTCAGAGAGTCTGCAACGTGAAATATATTTAAGGAGGACATCTCCATTCAAAGCAAAGAAATATTCAAGGGAGACCACCCCCTGACTAAAGAAATACTGAATCCTCCCTCAGATTCTGAATTTTTAGTTACCTACGTGATTGCCCATTGGTGGCAGGAAGTCTATAGCTCGGGTCTGTGTCCCGTGATGGACCTTGCAGGAGACGCTCGGGTTTACCCCTTGGCCCCATGTTCTGGATTTTTCCGGGCGTTTTATTTCAGTGCCCTCCACACAGTCATAGCCAGTGACAGCGCAGAGTGATGAAGAGCAGTGCAAAGTAATTAAGAATAAGTCGACATTAGATACAGAAGTAGTGCATGGTAATTGGGTGCTGAGGATCTTACAGCATGTGGGGGGGGGGGCGCATCCAGGGGTACAGCTCTAATAATGTCTGTGAGTCCATCCCACACCTCGCAAGGCCAACAAAACGCTCTCTACACACTAAAACGATGCCAGCTCCCCCATTCCGCAGCATGCTTCTGTATAACAAATGCTGCCAAGACATTATACCAGTTCTTTCAATGGAAGATCACAAGTAGTCACATTTTTTCACATTTTAAACACAAAGAACATAAAAGCATGCATAATGTGTCATATGCGATACAAAACATGTACATCCTGGTAGTAGAATATCTTTGTTCTTACCCACATCCCATTATGCCGTACGGTATTTTAGTCTGCTAACACTATTATAATATTTTATAGGAAAATACTGTGCTGACATGTTATATGGAAAACAGAATGATCTCACTGTGCATTAAAGACATTACTGATAACTACAAACCTCAGTCGGAACTGCAGACATCTACGTGTCTCTATAACCATTTACCTTGCAAATTTTTTTAGATATAGATAAGATTCATTCATGTAAATCAACCTAGCAAGGGGAAAGGAACACCGTGAACTCACTGGAACTTGTAAAGTTTTATTATACTATTGTGGAGAATGGTGACATATGTAGGTTATCTGGTTGTTCCAGGACATTGCTCACTCCTCACAGGCGTCTTCTCTGAGTGACGAGACAGAGGCTACAGCAATACAGTTCACATGCTAAAACATCAGGATCGGTACCCGTACGGCCCCGTCTCATTTCCTTGCCCCATTTGGCCAGTTCCCGCTGGCCGTCCCGTTTGCTGTTACCCTAGTGTGATTCCCTACTCCCTGCACTGCTGTGTAGTTCAGCAGGTTGAGTGTGTGGCTCGGGAGCTGCTATCCCTCCTGTCATGAGTCTGCGGCTGACCTGGGCCCTGCCTCACCTTTCTGTTATGTTTTGGTTTTATTTTATCCCCTGTGGCCTGTACTACGAAGCAGGGTTACTGGCTTATCGAGGTAACTTGTTGGATTTAAGGTAGTCTGGGCAAAATGTAAGTGAACGAATATGGAGTCCATTTAAACTGTGGTACCTTAAATCCAACAAGTTACCCCGATAAGCCAGTAACCCCGCTTCGTATTACAGGCCACAGGTGTCTGTATGGTTATGTTATGTCTTGTTTTTGGTTACCCTGCCCGTGCCTTGTCTATGTTCTGTTTTATGTTCCTTGATCTCTCCTCGTGTTGATAGCCCTCACTGTTTCTACCTGTTTCCTAGTCTCGATTGCCTGTTAATTGGAAATTTACCCCACCTGTTCCTTGTTGCCCCGAATCTTTAGTGAGGGGTTGATCACCTGTCCTGCATCGTGACTTGACAGCAGCGTTTCCTTAGTGGTTCATGGTGATCATGGTGTTTCCTTCTGTTGCTGTGTGATTATTAGTTGTAGTTGCCCTGTGTTGCTCCCTGCCCTAGTTTAGTTTTGACCCCTCGTGGTCCCTCTGTGAAGCCGCTGTGTGCATCATCTCTCCTTCACCTGCCGTAACACTAAAATATTTTGTGAGCTGCAGTACAGGTTGGTTTAGTTATGAAACCTAAAGAACAAACAGCAGCTGTAAATCTGCCTTATTGGCAGATCGTTACCGCATATTACAGTTACTTTGAAATCCTTTATAATATGGTGGTTGTAAATAAATATCGTAACCATGTTTGTGTGTATTAAATAAGTGCATACAAAGTGTTAAGCGACCTGTAAAGCACAAATATGCTTACAGGTAGCGAGATTACCTGCTTTCACTATTAATGACAGTTAAGTTACAGTTAAGCACTTTGTGTGATCCAGTTGCTATTCAGGCAAATATGCTTTTCCCACTACACGTAATAAGGCTTTTTATCTGGGTATAGTATAAAACAATTTTTTGATTTTAATGTTATTCTACATATAGTGAATGAAGAGAACATCGCGATACATGAAAGTTAAAAGTACCTATACTAAGTTATAGGTGTACATACTTATAAGAAGTGGTTTAGGTATAGTTAAGAAGAAGCGTTGCTCCTAACGAAACAAGTGTCCAACCAGCCCTCCACCCTTGAGCATCTGTAATGTTCTGAATTACAGAGTCGATTACAAGGCATTCAGCAGGGACAAGGCCAATGAATACCGAAAAGGAAAATTTGTTTTCTGAATGAAGTAGTACGTCCCCAAGCGGCAGAAACGTCCTCTTTTTTTTCTTCCTCCATTTTCCCCCCAAGCCATTCCATGGGAAAAGAAATTTTCCTTAAGTCCTTGGAGAAATTGTGCTATTTTAAGGGTTTACGTCATACATTTACGATTCGGCCTTTAATTCTCTCCACTGCATTCCCCTAAAACGGTCAGGCTTTTAATATGCCTTTCTTATTAAGGCAAATACCGACATTCTGAACACAGTCATATATGTCAGTTAATTTCTTTAGAATTTAAAATTCAATTTAGCGTTTAATGATTAAGGGTCTTTACTTAATAAAAGAATCGCAAGTGAAGTGGTATTAGGAGCTGCAATATGGTGTTTTCTTGGTTTATATGTCGTGACAGCCATATAGGAGTGTTCAATGTTTGCCTTTAGGGTATGATCGCGGTGGATTTGGTAATAACACAATTCAAGTAACTTATTTCACTTGCGTCGTAGGATTCTGCAAGAAAATAGACACAATGATAAGCACACGGAGGACCGAAACGAAAGCGAAGAGTGTCCTGCATGGTAAGTATTGTTTCATTTTCAGCGGTCCTAATTTCGAAAAGAAAAAAAAAACAAACTGATATAAATGGTGACACACCTTAAAGTTATGTAGTTTTGAAAACAGTTTCTAACTGCCAATGTTGAACAGATTACTAATGTTTACACGTTTTGCGTGTTTCTTATATAACAGCTTAGTCCGTTTTTAAACAACGAAACTGTTGTTTAAAAATCCGTTAGTAACAACAGATTACTGCATGTAAACAAATGATATTAACCTTGAACTGTCGATATTTAATTTAGGGCAAAGACGCGGGGAAAATTGTCAAGTTCTGTGTTTTGGAAATTTAACGACTCATTCTAAAATAGCTGCGACGATATTATACCGTTCTAGTTCACGCGTTTAAATGCCATTACTGTCACATTGGGGAATGTGTGTGTGTGTGTGTGTGTGTTTTCTGTTCAGCGAGAGAGCGTCCACACGTCAGCCCACTTGGGGAGGGCACTGCTGCTTAAAATGCTGTGAATGTGACAGCCAATAGTCCAGACTGCCAGCGTGAAGAAGGTGATGGGATAATCCAAGCGAACCTGCAGAGAAAATGAGAGCACAGACATTGTGCCCGCAGAAGGAAGACGGACACCGGTAAGGGAAGGCGCAAACGGAAACGGGCGCTCTCCTCTACAAGTGACTGACCGATTCTCCGAGACATCCAGGGCACACACCGACAGGGGAGAAACCGAGATCGGACCGTGGTTCCAGTGCCATTACCCTCCAGGGGGGAAAGATGACAGTGGTGCCCTCAGATAATCTGGATGAGACTGTGGCACTTGCAGCCCTGTCCCAAGATGTCTATGATCCCGAACAGGCGGACCAAGAATGCTGCGAGAGGGTGGTCATCAACATTTCCGGGCTACGCTTCGAGACTCAACTTAAAACCCTTGCCCAGTTCCCCAACACCTTGCTGGGGGACCCGAGAAAAAGAATGCGTTTTTTTGATCCACTAAGAAATGAATACTTCTTTGACAGGAATCGACCGAGCTTTGATGCCATCCTCTATTATTACCAATCTGGAGGACGGCTTAGAAGACCCGTGAACGTACCCGTGGACATATTTATGGAGGAAATTAAATTCTACGAATTGGGAGAGGAAGTCATCGAAAATTTCAAGGAAGACGAAGGGTTCATCAAAGAAGAAGAACGTCCTTTGCCAGAAAACGAATTTCAGCGTCAGGTCTGGCTCTTGTTTGAATATCCCGAGAGCTCAGGACCAGCCAGGGGAATTGCAATAATTTCTGTTCTTGTGATCTTGATTTCAATTGTGATTTTCTGCTTGGAAACCCTGCCGGAGTTCAGGGAGGAAAACAGATATCCCGAGGATTTCCTTCATGTGAACGGGACTACTCACATGAAGAAGCCAAATCCGTTCACAGACCCTTTCTTCATAGTTGAAACACTGTGCATCATCTGGTTTTCTTTCGAGCTGTTGGTGAGGTTCTTTGCCTGCCCTAGCAAGCCCGCCTTCTTCAAAAACATTATGAATACCATCGATATAGTGGCAATTATGCCCTATTTCATCACGCTAGGTTTGGAGCTCGCAGAACATCAAGGGAACGGGCAACAAGCGATGTCGTTGGCAATACTGAGGGTGATCCGTCTGGTGCGTGTCTTTAGGATCTTCAAGCTCTCCAGGCACTCGAAGGGTCTGCAGATCCTTGGAAAGACGCTCCAGGCTAGCATGAGAGAACTGGGTCTCTTGATATTCTTCCTTTTCATCGGGGTCATCTTGTTTTCAAGCGCGGTGTACTTTGCTGAGACCGATGACCCAGAGTCGGGATTCAGCAGTATTCCCGATGCTTTCTGGTGGGCTGTGGTGTCCATGACTACTGTGGGCTACGGGGACATGTGCCCAGTCACAATCGGTGGCAAAATAGTCGGTTCGTTGTGTGCCATCGCCGGTGTGCTTACCATCGCGCTGCCCGTCCCTGTGATCGTCTCAAATTTCAACTATTTCTACCACAGAGAGACGGAGCACGAGGAGCAATTTGAGTACACGCATGTAACATGTGGACAGCAGCAGCCCTCGTTTGGAGAATTCAAAAAGAGTGACAGCAAGCCTTCCCTTGCGAAATCCGACTACCTGGATTCAGACGATTACGAGGCATTCAAATATACAAACTGTAGCCCAAACAAAGTGTACACGGGCAAGCTGACTGATGTATGATTGTTCAGCACAGCAGAAATGAAGTAGAGAAACGTGCGTTTCTGTGAGTACATCCTAATTCAGCACTTTACTTAAATATAGTCTCTTGCTCCTGCATTCTTAGTGTGATCGAATGATTTCCTTAACAGAAACTGTTGTTTTGTCACATCGATAAATGGAGCGGCACTGTTAGTTGTCTTATATGCTCGTCATATTGAATGGGTAAAGTTACCTGAAAATGTGCATAACGTACGCAAATCATCTCAAACGTCCTACCTCTCGTTGTAGGACTTTAGTAGCCTACTTCCATTTTTAGAAATTCATAAGGTGTCCATTAGAATCTACCTGTTAGTAAGACTGAATGTTATTTGCGTGCTTGGTACAGAGAAGGAGGATAACTCCAGTTCAGGGAGAGTGTCTCTTGTGTATGCGGTCTGTGCAGTTTAGTGTGGACAAGGTCACTCGAAGACACGACCTCTGTTGTTTTCCTCACGTCTCCCTCGGTCACGTATTTTCTACGACTGTCATCATACAGGCATTATCCCCCAGGCGACAGGTTTAAGGAATTATCCCAGTTGGACGCATTCTTGCAGCGATGCCATTATCTTCTATATCGCGGTGGATAGCGTGTTCTTCGAGTAGCGCAGATCAAAAAGCAGCTGTTGCCTGGACATCATGTCCAGCCGAACACCTTCCCCTAGCCTCCAAAGCAGACAGCTCTCGATACAAAACTTTTTCCGTCAAATGTTGATTCCTAGCACTTTTGATAAATTTATAGCTTTGCTGTGGTGAAATGCAATGCATACGATTTATTTTAAATTATTTACATTGTTTACATTTCTTAGGGGGGAAATTAAATTCCTTTAACTTTCCTTTAAACTATCTTACTACTTTGGTGCATCAAATGGAACTAATATTATATAAGGAATGACATAATATGGCAATAATAACAATAATTTTGAAATACATGCAATTTCAGTATTTGTTTAATATGCACATTGATTAGATACATAACTTGACAAACAGCGCGTCGTTTCTGTTATTGTTGAGCTTATGATGAATGTACGAGATGGCAAAGCTCACAGCGCCGCTCTGTGGATCAACAAAATCCTGCGGTAGGAGCTTTAAAGACAGTCATGTTTCTATAGCAACCTTCCAGATTGTTCGTCCTTTGGTCGTCGACTAAGATAGCTCGTTCATAACTAGCTATCGTTTGAATAATTACTGAACAGATGCAGTTACTTTGAAAACACAATGTCATTAATCGGTGTGGAGGAAAAAATAACGGCTACGATAAGTTTGTTTAAAAAAACCAACCATTATTTTGATATTAGTGATCTTATGGAGAACAAAATTATAAACAAAGAAAATAAATAGACAAATAAGGAAATAAATAAATAGAGCAGGCCTATACCTCCAAACTTACTAGGTAATAAATAAAACGCCAGCTATGATCCAAACTGCAGAACTCGAACAGAATATAACGCGCGTGCAAGATTAGGATCAAGTGATAAAACAGCATTTAAGGAAGTAATATTAAAGGATCCAGCATAACTAAAGTTGGAATGGAAATAATATAAATTAGAATAATTCTGTTCCTATATATCAACTAAAATAACTAATATAACTAATAACTAAAATAATGCAATGTAAAGAAACGTAAGAGACGACTGAAGTCACGTGCGTGTTAATTAGGTGATGCGGGAATGACGTTCCATCACTCCGAGAAATTATTTTCTATATAAATTCATTTAAAATGTTTAAACTGACTGCTCCTATATATGTTCATTTTTAAACTATAAATTAGTTAAAGATTAAAATCTTTTGAAATTAGCTTACCACATTTGTGAAAATTGAAATTCCCCAATCGTTCGAACTATAAAATGGAATTTGGTACCCGAATCTTAATATTTAAAACGTAAAAATTGCGATTGCTAAGATTCCTGGCGTGAAGGTTCCCGCTGTCTGCAGTCGCTAGTTAAAGATCGTGTTAAGCACGTCGCCATTACACTGGCACGTAAACAATGTCTAGCTAGCCAGGGAAAACTCACACGAACTTTTAAAGGAAACAATATAAAGACAAACAAAACACCCTTATATTACACACTGACCCTGGTGGCGTAATGAGTGGTTTCCAAGTCATCGGGGCTTTATCATGCGTCTTATTGTAAGGAAATGTTATTTTCTCTGAAGGCAGTTTGTTTTCTGATTCTTCTTTACAAACATTCGGCAGCCCAAAGTATTATAGGCCTGTTAAGTTGGCCTATTATATAAACGAGTGGGTTAAAATTATATGCGGAAATTAATGCGCATTTAATATTGTTTCAATGGAAGAAATAAAGCATGCGTGGCAATTTTATAGATTGTAATTTGTGCGTGTTAAATATGTTCCTATGGTAGCTAGATGGCAGTGTTTACTCGTAAAAAAAAAGAAGAGAATAAGACGAATAGAATTACTCTAAATCTTTCTGACACCTTTTCCAGCGCGTCAGTTCTAATTCCTTATTTTGAAGATAAGGGAATACGTACGTAATTAACCATCAGAACAACCCTAATTTGCGTTTATTAGCGACTAGACGTTTTTAATGAGATTTCATGCCATTTGATTCATATTTTAATTTATAATAATCCATCTATCCATCTTCCAGCCACTTATCCTGGGCAGGTTTTTATTTGGGGGAACATACATGCACAGACACATACATGCACAGACACATACATGCACAGGCACATACACACTATGGGCAGTTTGCAGACTGCATGGTTTTGGACTGACCTGCAAACCCAGGAGGTGTGAGGCCAGGCCTGAATTTCATGTTATAATGTCATTCTTTAAGCCATACATCTTGTTAAACAAGAATAGCTGGGTGAAAATGACATCTGGGAAACGTTTGAATACCAATCTAATAGGATAGTGTGCTTAAAAGAGGCCTAGTGAATATTGTAAGAGAATGAGCTTCATCTAAGAAGCTAAGAAATGAAATAGCTAAACTGCTGCATTTTTCAGATTCAGATCCTTTATTGTCATTGTACTGAGTACAATGAAATTTTAGCAGCAGTCCTGTAAGTGCATTCACATAAACAAAGTAATATGAACAATTCTGGATATAAGACATTACACAAGACATAACAAATCACACCATAAACCCAGTGTGTACCATAAATAAATGAGTAAGATGCAATAAATGCAATTACCAGTGCAGTTAATACAGATAAATTACAGTTGGATGTAAATATTGCAGCATTGCTTAAAGTAAGCATAGTGACAAAAAACTGAAATACAAATACAAAATGTTTTGCAGCTTATTGGCTAGTTGTTATTATTGCCTTAGTGAAATGTAAATAACTTGTGTCTATGTTTCTGCACAGCTTGCATCTTCAAATCCATTGTCTGATGTAAGTTACATTGACCATATGATGTTGACTAACACTCCACCTCATCTGTAGTAGCAGCTGTATCTCAGAGAAACACTCCATGCAGCTTGTTTAGGCACCGACTTAACCTAATGGGACCAAAATTGAATGAACTGAAAGTAATAATTTTGTAAGCTCTGTAAGATAACATGCATTCTTCAGGTTGCATTATTAATACTTATCATACATATCAAATAAGCAGATGTGTGGTCACACGTTTGGGCCGTGTACAGCTTTGCAGTATGACAGAGTATGACAGGTTATTTAGGCTGTAGATGTCTTTCTGGGATACTTGCTGGAGTATATGCTATGTTATTGTCAGGGTCAGCACCTGTGTGTCCCAGTCATTCCTGTCTTCCCCTGTTGTCAGTCTGTAGTGTTTCCTCTGCTCCTGTCAGCCACATGGCTGAACATACAGCTACCTGTTGACCCCTCTGTTGCGTGTATGAATCCCACTTCCTCTGTTTTTGTAGTTTTTGTTCCCTCATGTTTCAATTGAATCAGTTTCCTAGTCCCTGTGTTTTGATTTGTATTCAGTTTTGGTTTTTTTTGCCTTTGTGCCCTTGATTGTGTTTTTTACCAGTCTGTTATTCCCAGTGTTAGATTCTGTTTCTGTCTTAGTTTTCCCCTCCCAGTCCCTTGATTTAATTTTTAGTTTCACCTGTGGCCTGTTTTCCCAGCCCTTGTTAGTCTCACCTGTCCTGTGTTAGTCTCGTTACCCCTTAGTATTTAAGTCCCCTCCCTCTTTTAGTATTTAAAACCCCGTTTTGTCCTGTGAGCTGCAAGTGGGCTGTCCACCTCCTTCCCAGCCTGCGCCATGCCATGCCATCACCCCAAGTCCGCCCTGATCCATATCCATGACAGTTATATATTTTGTTGTGATTATATATATATATATATATATATATATATATATATATATATATATATACACACACACACACACAATATATATGAAACTTTGGAGACGTGTCAGGATAGGTGACGATGTGTGACAAATGCGCCTCCTTTTAAAGTGAAGCTCGGGGTGCTAAAGGGCTTTTTGAATCCTGCTTAACCTCAGGATTGATGTCCAGCCATCATGTGAGGCCACTAGGTTCCTGATCATGCTTTCAGTATTGGACCATGTGACTGACAGCACCATAAAGCCCATGGGACTCGTGTTATTAAGGAGATTGAAAGGCCATAGGCTGATGGCAACAGTGACACAGAGAATGACATTATATAAATAGACCATAATTTGAACAGAGAGGCCACAGAGACCTGTTGTGCCATAGAAACTCAGTCAAAATAGCACCACGCCATGCTTTGTGCAGTGCTGAGAATAATGTTTATTATTTAATATAATCCCATCAGAACGTTCTTCATGATACAGTACTGATCCACCAGAAGGCTGGTGAGGAAAAGCATGTGCTGGCAAATTCTCTAGGCTCCCTGAAACTTAATTTGTTCACGTCGGAGATGTTAGTGGGTCTGTCGTGCGCCGATGGCTTCCATGCCGTAGCTGCACGGCACTCGCTGCACACCTGGAAGGCAGCAGAGCGTAGGTGGTGTAAACAAGCAGGACGGATCCTTCAGCCTGGTTCTGTTGTCAAGCAGGCTTGGGGGATGGGAGAGGGAGGTCTGCAACGAGGGGACGAGAAAGCAAATCTGAGGTGTGAAACTGACATCCCGTACGCATGCAGATTGGTGCGGATGAACGTGCCTCAAGAAACGTTTATACTGCTACTACCCAAGCAAAAGAACTTGAAGTGTTTCAAAAAGTCTGGCCCCTTCTGTTGTCCTATGCGTGGTTGAGCACACATCAACGTGACTTTTTAGATGATTATGGGCAACTGATCCTAGCAGTAGAGGGCCAGGGCTACCATGAGATCAGAAGCCCACCTTATCAAAGCAGGTGTGAGCTGAGGGATTTAGAAGTGTAAGGAACCCAGAAACTGGAATAGGTACTGCACCACTGATGTAAGATGCGAGTCCATCTTTTAGCCGCTGACCAAGCCAGTCTCTCTGCCCATAGAAGCTGGGGCCTTTTAATCTGTGTCCCCTTCCGATGGGAAGCGGCAGTCACACTTCTGGCATGAACGGATTGCATTTGAGAAATGAAAGCTGCTTTTCCAGACTGTATCCGGACCCAGTTCCATGTTTTCTTTTGATTTACAGGAGACGGGATGCCAGCCTATGTTCCATATCGCCCCTACGAAATCCACAGATTATGAAGAGAAACACGCTCTCGACGCCCCCCTCCCCCTCCCCCCCCAGAAAAAAGACTTGCCATCTGGCAAAAGACCTCGATTCACTGTATTTTTCCTCTTTGCGGAGAAGCTAGCAGAGAGTCTGCTAGCATTAGCCAGAGTTAATGTCACGAGAGGCCCAGGCTGTGAGACGCTCTCATGTGTGGCGTGGATCATTGACCGTGTGTCGATCCCGACGGTAAGGCCAGGTGGGCCGGGGATGACGGGCGTATCCAGGACGTGCAGCGAGGAGCACGAGGGGACATGCTGAGAAAGTTACTTGAATCAGCGAGCATGTACATTACTTGCTGAACATGAAAACCCTTAACGTACTCTGTCTGGGAGAAGAAGAGGAGCGATGGGAGCCAACGGGGGGTTGTCAGAATACGCTGTACATTGCATATTATGTGCTGTACCAAAACATACTGCATGCTTGAGAAGTAGGGCATGTAAACAGGTGAAAACTAAAGTTCTTGTTCTGTGACAGTAACTCAAAACTGCACCAATAGCGAAAGTCTACCTTGTGGGAACAAGTCATTGATAGATATGTATACATATGACAAACATATAGATATATATATATATATAGATATATATAGATAGATTCATTATGGCGCTTGAGATGTGAGGTTAACATTGTCGAATCTATTTTTTTAATTATATGTTTTCTACGATGGTATTTGATTTGACAGCTGACTTGTTTTAAAGTTTCAAACATTTTCTTTGCAATGTGATTGTGTTTTTAATTTGCCTGGATGAAGTGGCAGGTTGTCAGGGGGCAGGGGGGGGGGGAGGGATCGCAGTGTGACTTAAGGAAACTCTTTCCTGCACGTGAATGTTGCTGCGGGAAACTGCAGAAGCACGGACACGCCGTGGACGTTTGGCGCTGCAAACAGTTGATTTTGCAATATTTTATAGCTATTATTACTATGATCTGAATGCTGTATCACTGTCACAGAAGACATCTACCTCAGTGTGCATGTTCCATTTTCAAGGGAAGCTTTAACCTGATCTGTGTTGGCCAAACCAGCGCCCACTATACTAAATCTGCAATTATATGGGCAATTTACCATTTATTATATATGATACCCACAAAGCAGATGGTGGATGGTAGGCAGGTACAGCTCCGATATGCAAACACGCGCCTGGCTGTCAGCAGGCATTGGTGGAGGCTAAATATGAAACACGCCTCCGCATCCTGATTGGGCGCTAACCCCCCACCCGCCCCCGAAACTCACTAAGCCCCATGGGGAGCAGTAACCGTGGCAGCACGTTAAGCTGGGGGCAGCTATGGAACCTGTATAACAAACGAAGCAGATGCCTAATTTATGCATGTATTTATTTATTTGTTTAGTTCTTGTTTTTAAGGTAGGGCCTCCCTTTGAAATACTTAGTAGCAATACTAGCAGTAGCAGTCTCCTATCCTGTGATCAGCGCGTGATGGGATTTCCCTTCTGCTCCTGGTTCTCCTTCTCCTCCCATCATGCTTTGCGCTGAACACTCCCCAATGACCTGCTTTCAACAAGCAGATAGGCTCCCTTCAAATTTCGCCTCTCACACCCCTAGCCTCCGAAGATGCCCACCTGAGGCAGAGGCAATTTTCTTCTGTGCAATGTCACTGCTTGGGGGGGGGGGGGGCAGCTGAGATGGTGAATATTCGTTTTTCTGGGTTTCCATGGGAAGGCCGTACCACCGGATGCTGCATACAGCCCCGTGGACCCCATGTGACCAGACCATCGTGTAGAGATGGTGGAAGATGAGAGGGAGCCGTCGTCCAAGAGCACAGCCCCCCCCTCTGCTGAAGTCCCTAGTGCCCACAGCAACAGGAGAGGCTCACGCTCGCGTGCTGCCAGTCACTGGCTTCACTTCCCGTAAATTGCGATCGGTGAATCGCAAAAATGGCCCTCGCAAAAAGAATGTCGCGCTTGCCCGGCGGGATAGAAATAGAGAAGGCGGCGGCAGGTAGGTACCGCTGCGTTTCAGCACCGGTGAAAGCCCCGCTCCGGCAGCAGTGCGAGGACCCGTGTCTCTGCTGAAAAGAAGTCATTTCTCTCCCACCATGTGGTTCTAGTCATTCTGCCCACCAGCTGCTAACCCAGTTCTGTGGAGCAGGTGGGCGCGTGTGTCACATTCATTCCCTCCCAGGCTCAGGAGGACGGGATGTGGCAGTATTGTATCACAGTATCGTACAAACCCGATCGCGTGAGTGTCCCTACAGGTCACAGGCTGCAACTGCGCCCGACTGTGCCGATTTAACAGAGAGGTGGGGGGGCGCTAACTCTACCCCTGTGTATTCAGAGATGAAGACAGAACTTCAGACACCCAAAAATCTCACACAATTTGGGCATTTTCTCAGACAGCATGTGTAAATCCCTCTGTGTCCCGCGAAGAATGCTTGATAACGTCTTAAGGTCCGTTGTCTGGAGTCTTTGACATGCTGTAAACAAAGCGAGTCATACGCCTGTTTCTATGCAACAAGACCTGAAGTATTTTATAGGCATTTTACCAAGGTGTTCTGAAAGGCTGGAGCTTTAAAGGAAGAACAGGGTGATGCCAGGAAGAGAGGGAAGCCTTTACTGGTGAAGTCCTGCTTGCGTACGCGAGCTGCGATCCGATCAACATCTGGTGCATGTGCTCCAATCCCTTTTTTGTGAAGTTTAGAGCCTTTTCCGGGCAGTGTAACCCTTGGCCTCTGTCTAAGGAAGCACTTATGTGCTTGTCACTGATTTTCATTAAATGCTCAAACTGCCATCCCAATTTAAGTCAATGAATGAAGCTGCTGTTACACATCTTGATGTCCGGCCTGCAGGGTCTTCATTCAACGCCTTCCAGTCTGTGCAAAACGATGGATGACATTGCAAGAAATATATTTAATTAAAAAGTTAAATAAGGAATAAATTTCTGCATTGGAGAAAAAGACTCCAAATTGTGTGAATTAATAATGCACTACAGGCCTTCGTAAAATACAAATATAAATCAGTGGGTTGTATATTTAACCGGGG